TTATTTCTTTTCATGTCATTTATGGATTTTTAGATTTCATCTTCAGTTATTTCTGGTAATACCTCTGAGCCAACATTTTGTATTTTCCTCGAGAGATTCTGTTTAGATGATAGTGGTGGGTCATATTTAGAACTATATAGGTCTGTGTAATATCTTTATGTGAATTTTACTATTTCTCCTAGATCTCTTTCTTCATTGTTCTCAGCTTTAAGCATGATTAGTTTTCTTTTTCCTGTATTTGTCTTCATTGTTTTTAAACTTTTGTTCTTCTCTATGATTTTCTTAATGCGGTCTTCTGGTATTTCTTTAAATCTTCCTTTATCTATTTTATGGTTTTTTTTCTGTTCGGTAAACTCCACTGTATTTCTTTTGTTATCATTCAGTAGTTGTCGTCGTTTTTTTAGCATACCTTGTGATTTAGCGCTAATTTTTTGTTGTTCTCGCTTTTGTTTATTAGCAATCTTCAGGCCTGCTTCTAGTAGTTCTATTGTTATTTTATCGTTTAATTCGTCTAGTTGCAAACCCTTTAGTTGTGATATGTCACTTCTTTTTAGCTGGTTTATGTATTGTTCTTTGCGTTCTTTAAGAAGTTCTGTATCTATCTCTTTTTTAGATGGTTTAAATTTTTGTCTGTCTGTTGTGGAGTTAATTTTGATTTGAATCCGTATTAGTGGCTATTCAATCTTCCTGCTTTTCCGCCAGTTTCCGCTATTTATTGTTTTACTTCCATATTATCCCCATTTATTATTAATGTTTTGTGCGCCTTCGGATCTAAGATTTTTGCTCTTTTAATTTCCATCTGGACATCTCTGTCGCTCTTCTTCAGATATATCGAAGAAAACATAAAGAAATAACACTCATAGACACCATGTCTTTATTTTCTAACATAAGGTAAAATACAATAATAGTAGGTATGCTCATATAATAACACATTTCAAATAAATTAGAAAAATAAGCCACAACATAATCTCACAGAAAAATATAAACTACGACCTACTCCACTAAATTAGCCAGTACAAGTATACACGTCTCATAGCATTAATTATTTTATGTATATTATCATACACTAATAGGTGTTTACAAAAAAAAATCCAAGTTTTTTTATCGTACAATAATCTGCTTCCAATAGTGGACATTGCTTTCGTTGGGCGTTTCTGTCGTTTACAGATTTGTTGACAAGTCCAAATATTATCCGTTAACAAGTATTTCAGGCCATCTACGTGAACACCTTTAATCATTTATCATGTTTTTCTTACCTGCACCTGTTTTTGATTTAATCAGACAAAAAAAAACGTGAAAATTGGTTGCAGTAGTTTGCTAAGGGAACTTGGAATGATATATCTACTATCAGAACTATTAGATTCATTTATACATGCCATTACTATTATTTTTTGAATGTTTCCTTAATAGTCTAGGTGCCAGGCGACATACTGTATCACTCATACATAACAGGCTACAATTTTCAGGATAGCTTCATAAGACCTCGACTCCCAAATATCTCTTGGGATACTTTCTGTAGCGGGTGCTTTTTCTGTCCAGCTTATCCAAAAGTAGTCATTTTGAAGCGATGATATATCAAATTTATTAATCACGTATTGCTGTTTAATGAATACTAAAGTCGGCTTCGTGACATATCCGAAAAAAATCTTGTCCAACAAAAATTTTGGTTCCATAAGGGAGTCCACCAAACTAAACATGCCAAAAAAACAATAGCTCTGAAAAACTTAAAAATAACAACCTGATTTTCTCTGTATCGTTCACAAATAACGTAAAAAATACTATTTTTACATTGGGCGACAAAATACACTCGCCGATTTTTTCGTCCGACAGTGAAAATCGGCTTTTCGAGGTTCTTCGAGCCGAGGTCTTATGAAGCTATCATGAAAATTGTAGCTTGTTATGTATAAATGATACAGTATGTCGCCTGGCACCTAGACTATAATGAATGCAAGTGGTTAAAAACAACTCATAAGAAAAATATGACTACAAGCAGTCTATATATACATTTTAATGATGTTTCCGTCCTTTTGTCCTCTTCTTTAGTAGATATAAACGAAAAACAGATATTTTTGTAAACACCCGATATATAAAACATTCCTAACAGTGTGAGATTATATCGTTGAGTTGGCAATCGTATAACTTAACGTCTATCATTAATTACATTTTCACAGTTGAATTATATGAATTACCTAAAGATATTTTCAAAAATGTTCACTCATTTTTTACTTACAGTTAATTATAGCACTTGTCTGTTTTTTAAAAGATGTGTAGAACTTTTAACTAACAGATATTTATATTGTTGATAAAGTTCTTTGCAAATCTATAGGTACACAGTTCGTTTTCTTCTCTACTATGTTACACAAAGGTTCTATAAAGCATTTTTACACATTTATTAATACAATTATTTGCGTGTTTTAGACCAAATGAAATATATCAAACTCTCGAGATGTTAACTCGATATTACCTGCGTACTAAGGTAGACACGATATGTTACATGAGTGTGTATAGTGGGTTGCCTGCGTCAATGACGAATACGACAGTTAGTACGAGTATCAGATTAATAAAGAAAAACATTAATAATAATAGTAGTGAGAGTTTTACGTCTTATTTTGCTAATTTTGTGTGATTTAAGATTCCGTGCTGTTTTCGTGTATTTTCACTATGTGTTCTGAAATTATCGTTAATTTAAGAAATTCATGATAAATTGGTTGCCTATCTATCAGGTCCTGAAAATTTATTCACATACATGTTATTAATTCGTTTTCGAATCATTTTACATAATTTCTACAATCTATTTCCATTAATAACAATGATTGAAATGCATTTTTTGGCTCTTTAGTTATATTACTGAATTAGACCACTCTCATATGATACTTATGTATATAAGTACTCTCTTTTTATATATTTGAAGAGTGTTGTTTTAAATTTTAGGTATTTTTTAGAATAAATAATAAAGGAAATATGTATGTATCAAAATGTCCAAAATATTAAACATTATTTCGAAAGAATTATCTAAATAGGATTTTGACTTCTAGCACTAGTACAACAATTATAATATGTTATATAGTACTTAAATTCGACTTTGTATGTATAGCTCTGTCTATATTTTTACATTTGTATAGGTACTTTATAAATTCATTTAAAATGAATTTACAATTTTTACCTAAAAAATTGCGTTCTCCTAGATTTTTTAGGACACACCATAGATCTAGGTACAGTATTGTGCGAATTAATGGAATCACTGTGAATTTTTTTTCATTTTTTCAATATTCACAGTTGGCAACACTACCTACACAGTTGATTGACAGCTGACCAAGCATTGAAAACATAACCTTACTGTGTGTTGATGTGTTTGAGTGTGTTTTAGGTCATTTCTTACCAAGCTTGTGTTGTTTTGGGGGTTTTTTGTACTATTTTGTGGTGTTTTTGGTTTTATTCCAACATGGATATTACGCCTAGGAAGCGTGAAAAGATTGTCACGTTGAGTGAACACACTAGTATGCTACAAAGAGAGATTGCTAGAACGTGTGGAGTGAGTCAGGGGGTAGTAAGCAAAATTTTGAAGCGTAAACGAGAAACGGGATCAGTGGATGTGTAAAGGTTAAGAAAATGTGGAAGAAAGAAAAAAACAACACCAGCAGATGATAGATTTTTACTTCTAAAGAGCAAATTGGACCCAAGAAAATCAAGCCAAGACCTACAAGATCTAGCAGCATCAGTTATAGTGATTCATTACTCAACTGTTCGTGGAAGACTTTTGGAGAATGGTAGAAGGGCAATTCGTCCACAGAAAAAAACAGCTTCTAACTGAACGAATGAAGAAACAAAGGCTACTATGGGAAAAAAAACACTCTAATTGGACTGTAGGCGACTGGAAAAAAGTCCTATTTACAGATGAAACCCACTTTATAGTTCAGGGACAGCGGTCGAAATTCGTCAGGAAGTCTGACAATGAAAAGCTTACACCATCTCATATTGACCAAACCGTAAAACATTGAGTCAAGAAAATGTTTTGGGGATGTTTTTCATACATGGGGGTTGGATCTTTGGTGCCAATTGAAGGCATGATGAACAGCCAAAAATACAAATCCATGTTGGAAAAGTATTTGGACAAACAACTCCAAAAATGTCAACCCCAAGGAGGAGCGATTCTTCAACAGAACTCTGCCCTCTGTAACAAATCAAAGGAAATGATGGAATTTTTCAAAAATAAGAAGATTAATGTTTTAGATTGACCCGGTAATTCGCCCGACCTCAACCCCATTGAAAATTTATGGGCCATTTGCAAAGCTAGACTGCGAAAAATCGACTGTACCACTAAAACGAAAATGATATAAGCGGCCATTCAGGTTTGCTATCGAGATGAAAGGATATCTGACAACTGCCAGAAACTCATAGAATCTATGCCAAAACGGGTAAAAGCAGTAATTGCTGCCAAAGGGGGACATATTTCCTACTGAATGATGTAAGTTTACCTTTATAGTTTTGTCAAAATATAAATTTTTACTAAATAAACGGTTTTTTCATTAAAACAGCCTATGATTAGATTAATTCGCACAATACTGTACATTTCACAAAAATACCTGTACCAAGTATGCCTATTTCTCCAATACCGGACTCATTTTATCCATAATGCCAAATAATTTTGACTACATAGAAGAATTTTCAGTGCTACAGCGTTGTCACTCTTAATTGTACTTCTTGTTTCTAAAGAAGTAGACCTACGCTAAATGAAAAGAATTTAAGTACTATTATAACAAAAATGCAACAATATTCTTGGTGTTATTTTACTTATGTTAGTTATTGTATTTAAATGAAGACATATTCATCACTCAAGTTTAAAATTATAATTGAAAATGTGATAAAACATTAAATAGTCGTTGAATCGAAGTTTTCCGTCAAATCGAGAAGAAAACGAACAAATTGAATCAGTAAACAGTAAAACCATATTTGAAATTCAACGGTCTTATGACTGACATAAGGTGAGATCCACAGGGGTTTTAGCCGGTCTTCTGGGCGGTACCTGCTGCATCTTGTACTCCTCCCGATCCTCCAGAAGGCATTGGCTGATTGGCCGGGATGTATTGAATATTTGGGGCAGGGGCTGTTGGTGGTTTGTCAGGCATGAATTTCACTAAAATAGTAAATGATAAAGAAGAGTGTTCTATAAGGTTTTATACGTGGTGAACATTTTGTATATGACTATTAAGTATACATGAGTAGATTTATCAAGTAGATCAGGGCTTCCCAAACTATGCGTCGCGACGCCCTGGGACGTCGCTGCGTTGTTCCAGGGGCGTCGCGTGTCAGCGCAGAATTTTAATACAGAAACTATATTTATTTGACTTTAAATAAGTATAAAATATATGTATTAATAAATAAATTGAATAAAAAATATAACATAAAGTCGATGGACCCTGGATTTATCCAAAGTTATGCCAAAAATTGTTTCGAAAATTATCCGGTCGGCTCCCCTCCCCCGTGTTCCCTACTGTCAAGCGTTTTATGTCATTTAATTAAGCTTTTGTTTTTTGTTTTATTACGCGCGCGGATTTTTTGCTATCAACAATGGATAATTGAATGAACTGATGAAGCATGATGAATACATGATAACTTGTAACATTTTTTTATTATTAATATATTAAATTATTTTTAATTCCTTTTATCCCCGTGCGATACGCCGATGATTAGGAATCCCCGTGTTTACGATAGGAAATAATATTGTAGATACCAAGTTAAAATGGAATTCCCTAATTAGGAAAGGTTTTTAATCCTTCCGTCTTAATACTCTGTATGAAAAGAACAAATGCTTTCCGGTATGCAGTTTCCTTTTCATAAATTGGTAATTATCGTCGAAGGCCCATATCTTTTGACACTAACTTAATCCAAAGTATTGTCTGTTTCTTATGTCCAATTGTTAATACCGATTATTTTAAATCAAACTTTCCAATAATCGTCAAGGCCTTACCTTCTGAGAAACACATACAACTGTCCTATCATTCTTGAGTAAGGGAATATTTTCTTCTTCCTTTTTCAGGGACAGTTGGTGAAAGTTAGAGTGGAACCAATTTACTTGTTGGTATGCAGTTGTTGAGTGAGGTAATATCTCGTGAGACTTGTTGGTGGGCGGTTGTTGAGTTAAGGCCAATATCTCGTGTTACGCTTTGCTCACGATATTTCTTATCTTATCGTCGCTGTGAATAATTTTCTAAGTGTGTATACACTTTATATTTAAGTTTTCTTTCCTTAGAAACCTTTACCTTAAACCTTTAACGGTTATTAAATTCAGTGTTTAGTACCAGAAAAGTATTAAATTCAGTGAATTAAGCTGCCTTCGTCAAGATCTACTGTAAGTAATCTTTATCTACAATTATCTGGGCGAGTAATATGGTATGGTATCATATCACCTGCCATTATCTGGACGCATCATCTATATCTTCACCTGTAGATTGCCGATTTTTGAATGTAATTGAACCATTCAAGAAATTTCTATAAATATTACCTATGAACATACAAGTCTCAGTTTTTTATTAAATAATAGTGCGAGATAGTTAATTGACTTAACCAAGTGCGGTTTGGTTTATGTTTTCATTCCTGTAACCTTTTTTTGTTTTTGTAAATTTAGAGTTAAGTAATTTTTGCTATCTTTTGTATTTCCTATAATTTTTGTTCATTATCTTTCCTATGATATCTCGAGATACGCCAAACTATATTTGTATATGATTTCCTTATATATCTTGGTAAAGGTATTTTTCTTATTACATTATTGCTTAATTTTATACATATATAACACCATTTCATAGTTGTGTATTTTTATTACCTGGGTTGCATTTAGCAGCATCATAATTTTGTGTTTAATATATTGTTATTGTTTTATGCATGTATTTTATTTGTCGGCTCCTAACAAGTTCCCTGATAAAATAATAGCTCTGAACAATTACTATCTTTAAATATTACTATGCTTTTGAACTGTAGAAAGATCAGGCTGATTAAGTTTCGTAGGTAAGTAAGTGTAATACTTAATATATTTATTATTTGTTTATATATTGCGTTGACCAGATTTATTTGATAATTTACTGTTGGTATCTTTCCTTGGGTTTGATCTCTGAACCTAAATATCTTTTCTTATCTCTTTTCTTTTCTAAGGTTTTCTTAATTTTCTCCTTAACCCCAAAAAAATGAGTGGCGCCCTGTTTCTATCTTCTCTTATCTTTGGTAATTTTAACCATCTATCTTTTTGTTTATTTCCGTATCTTTTCTAATATCTCTTATCCTATCTTTACCTATTTCTTCCGTTGGATCCATTCCCGGTTCCAAAAGCTAGTTTCGAACCCACGACTCGCTCTTTACCAACCATCTGGCTGCCGCCCGCAGTGTCTCCATTGGTTATCTTTCTAGCACCACCCAAAAAAGATTTCCGAGGTTACAAACTGATGAAGCCATAAAAGACAGAATAACCAAAGGGGAGCGAGTTATAAGTGCATTGAACGAGTTATATTGTTGTAATGGATAGCATTATTAAAGCGGTGAACTACATTAAGATACGACCCATCAAATTAAGGTTTTTCCATAAAGTTTGTAAAGAAATGAGGGTTGAGGACACCTCTTTAATAATATTGCAACTCTCGTTGACTGTCCAAACGCAGCGTATTCGCACGTGTATACGAATTAAGAAACGAATTTTACACGTATATACATACAGAATCACATGATTATACGCAATATATAGGATAAGAACGGGGTTGCTACAGTAAAATCAAACATGACAAAATGGGGAAAAATAGACCAAGATGATGTGAACTGTGACTGTGGAGAAACACAGAATATGGAACATCTTCTTACATGCAGAAACTGTCCTCATCGATGTACCCTTGAAGATTTGTGGCTCGCCAAGAAAGATGGAACCGACGTAGCCCGATACTGGGCCGAAATTTTATGAATGACATGTCCGGACACGATAAAGTAAAGTAAGTACATGATTATACGCAAAACTTTATTAATTCAGAGATTATAATAAAATTAGCATACACCTGTGACATATATTTAAGAAATTTAATGATCTTTGCAGAGTAACAATACTTACTCATATCCTGTAATTGGCAGATAAAATTACTGGGTTTCAAAAGAAGTTACTCTTATGGAAGAGAAAATTAGAAGATCAAGAAATTAACTGTTTACAAGGTATTCTAGAAGAAAAATAGATAGAAATCCTTGCTCCCTCTTTAAAACATGTTTACGCAACAAATGTGATCATCGAGCGAACACGTCGAGAAATGTGAAGATGTTTTCCCGAAGATGTGAAGCAATATGACTGGGTCAGAAACCCTTTCCTGTCATCCACGCGATTCAACAGAGGAAGAAGAACAACTGACAGAATTGTTCTATGATTCCAGCCTAAAGCTTTCAATACGACAAAGACAAACCTTTTGCAGTTTGGAGTTCACTTTCTGATGAATATTATGCCATCAGCACTGCTGCATTAAAAGTCTGCGACTTCGTACTTGTGCGAAACGCCTTTTCTGCAGTTGCAGTAATTAAAAACAAGTATAGGTTAAACATAAACTTAGAAAAAGAAATGAGAGTGGCAATTTCTAAACTGGAGTCGCTATTTCATAACCTGTGCTCAAAAAGCAAGCACATCCCTCACAATACCATCCCTCAGCCACTTACATAAATAAATATCCCTTTTCATTTTTGTGTTTCGTGTTTTATTTCGTTCTTAACTTTTAATAAAAAATATAAATGTTCAAATACTGTTTTTGTTACAACTATAACCTGTTACTAGGCTAGTACTAAAATTGGTAAGTATTATTGTTAAGTCCCAAAAGCGTCACAGTACGAATAAGTTTGGGAAGCCCTGAAGTAGATTAAACATAATTTATTAATGTATGACAGCATGATAACGGTATTTGAGATAATTAAAAAGTTTTGTTTTAGGAAATATTCTTAGAGCTCTGCTCTGGCAAATTCTTGATCTGGTTCAGTGTGGTCCAACCTCAGGCACGCGGGCCGCATGCGCCCCGATACTTGTTAAACTGCGGTCACCGCAAACACATTTCAAAAATATTGCCATTGATAAGTTTTACCAGTTCCAACCCTGTCTAACTTTCCGTAATCTTAAGAAAGTAATTAACCTTGAACACCCACTCCCGATGACCGGGTGGTTATCTTCAGTCAGCTACACGTGTTGTGTTAATTTAACAGTGGCGAATAAATTGAATGTCAAGTTCAGAATGAGTAGTGCCAAAAAACGCAAAATTTTCTAAGAGGATCGTACGTTCCAAGGAAAAATGGGAAAATCAATATTTCTTTATCGAATTGAAAGGCAAACTCAGTGCATTATTTTTTTGTCAAGTACTCGCGATATCAAAAGAATACAATATTAGTAGGCATTATGAAACCCAGCACAAAACAAAATACGACAAATATCAAGGTTAAGCTCGTATTACTCTTGTAAAAGAACTTAAAGCTAAATTGAATAAACAAAAATCTCTATTTACAAAACCGACAGCTGTTCAATCATAAACCTTAGCAGCATTACATGAAGTCTGTTTAGAGCTTGTCAAAAGTAAAAAAACCATTTAGAGATGGAGAAATGATCAATAGGTGTGCCGTTAAAATGGATCGATCCTTTGGAGATGAAAATATGGCCAAAAATTTTAAATGTGTTTCAGTTTCCCATCAGACTGTATCTAGAAAAGTTGATGAGCTAAATACTCATGTATTTAAAAAAATGGTCGACACAGTTTATGATTGTTTGAACCACTCCTTAGTCTTGGACGAATCTGTTGATATTGATGAACCCGGGAAACACTCTGATCTCATAGAGATCGTCCCAAAGCACCTGATCGAGAGGGGGACCAAAAGATACCGGATATGGTGTAACAACGAGAGGAAGATGGTGGTAAAGATACTGCGAGGGATAGATGGCATCACAAGACTATAGACATCATACACAAAAAAAAGGTATGTTACTTCTTTTTCCAAAGAAAAGGTGGAGTAACGATGTGCTGATCGTTCAACAGTTCAAACCGTGGGAGTGTCGATATTCGCGCATCCATTTCCACGACGAGACGACAAAGTGGGATTCGGAGCGGCTATTTAAGGCGAGCAACTGGCGGAATTAGATAGTCT